AAGCTTATCTTTATGTCTGGCAGCACTAGCCTTACCAATGTCCATATCCATGAAAGACACGTACTCAAATATCGACTGCTTGAGGAACTTCAAATCTTCTTCTGAAGAAGTAGCAGGACTACTAGATGGAGCAGGGCGAGATGTCTTGACTTGTCCCCAGGAAGCGAACAAGTTTTGGATGGAACGCACAATCTTGTCAGCATCCTGCAAAGAAAATTGCCAATATTGAAGATTTACACTACAACGAACAAGATGGAAATAAAAGTGAAGCAAAGATTACCTCATCAATAATCGTGGAAGATAGCATATCCTCAGCCAAGTCTACCTCCCGTGACTCCACCATTCGTGAGGACTTCCCCTTGTCTGAGCGAGAAGATGTTGCCACAACGGACAGACTCATAGAAGCATCTGCAGAACTCAAAAACAACAAATCATAAACCAATAGCACAAGCAAAGGTAAAGCATCAAAAAACTGAATTACCTTCTGCTTTGATGTTTGGGGGGTTGACGCCCTGGGAAGAAGGTGGCTCATCCATTGGTTGTGATGAGGATTCTGGGACTGAAGATGTCTCTTTAAGCGTAGTCCCTTCATTAGCTGGTTTGGATGAAGCAGCCTCAGCGGAGGATGATGGAGCAGGAGCTGCCGATACCAAAGCCTTTAAAGGAGAGGCTGAACTTTTCTGAGAAGTCCAAATAAATCATCAACACACAGAAAAGTTTCAAGTATGGAAAAGTATGCTTGTGAGTAAACCAATTTAATTACCTTCCTCCTGATGATAAGAAGGGTATCATCATCATCCTCCAGAATGGGAGATGCTGAGCCTGGCCGTTTGCGGCTTGGGGCACTTTTGGCTGCAGTAGGCTTGATAGGGAGAGAAGAAGATGGACGAGCAGACTGTTGAGCACGACGAGGAGAAGAAGGACTCCGGATGGACAAAGGAGTGACTAAAACAGGAAGAGGGGAAGAAATGCTCGGTTGGTCCAGTGAATGAAAGGCACGATTGGCATCAGTCGCAAACAATCTGCGCTTCGCTGACGGCCAGAGCTATTCAAAAAGAGGATGGATGGCATGGCTAGAATTGAAGGGGGCTAATGAAAAATAGCTTGTTAAAAGAAGATTGCGAGCATTTATAACCTCTGCCTCCGCCTTATTAATAATATGGAAGCGGTCAATCAAGTTCCTTGAATAGCAAGGAGGAACATGCCAAGTTTGGCCGAAACCAAGTTGACGAACAAAAAATTGGGGAGCATATATTTCTACCCCTGCCTTGGCATTGGTCCCAGTTAAAATATCATGAAATAACTCCCTCCCGGTTAAAAACTGGATCCAAATGAGCAGAGAGGTGCTCACGCTGTCTATAGTGGAGGGAGGATGCACATAGTTTGGAGTCAAAAAGGGAGGAAAAGGAAAGAAGGAAGGGATTGAATCCAAAGAATAAAAGAATGAAAAAATGTCCCTTCTAAACATATTTATAGGAGCCAAGGGCTCAATGGCTAGCCCATAGCAGCTAGAAGAAGAACGCGAAATTGATGGAGCACCAAGCAATGGAAAATAGGATCTCAACCACATTTGAGTGAACCAAAGAGATCCACTACCAGTGAGAGATGCACCATTCTTCAATTGAGTTTGAAGAGAAGTCATGCCTCTATAAAGGGCAGCCAAAAGAAAGAACATAAATTTAAAGGCCTGCCACGTGCCAATTCGTGCGCTATGGGTAAATAACTCAGGGAGGGCTTTATGCTTGGCATACACAAAACATATTTACAAAGCCAAACCAGAAGAAAGACCACTCGCTCAGTATGGGAAGGCTCAGCGCTCGAATGGTTATGAAGGGTTTGCAGACTTGAATAAGACTCGGTAAGGTTTCTACCAAACTTTGGGGTGCCACCAGAAACCAAGATACCAGGAAAAATGGTATCGCCCAAAGGTGACAGATTCACTAGGGCCCCAACATCCCTTAAAGTAATAGACATGGGGCCAAGAGGGAAAATAAAGGCATTATACTCAGAAGACCAAAAACTCAAAGCGATTGAAAAAAGTGCTGAATCAAAAGTAGGGGGTTAAAGAGAGATTTCTAACAAATCAGAAATCCTAACATTATCAAAAAGTGCCTTAGTAGGACCATGGTCCACAAGGCGAGCATGCCACCTACGAAAAACTACATCAGATTTAGGCCAAGTGCGAATACCTCTTTCGCGAAGTGGCCCCAGCGACAGAGAGTTTAGAAATGGAGGGTCTTGAGTACAAGGAAACAACTGGCCCACCGCCGCCTGTTTGACTGCCTCTGCATTGTTGAAGAAAGGACCTAGGTAGAACTCATTAAGTTCGACATTGGCAGGCGCGAGAAAGTTCGGAGTTATGTATGGACGATTCAGAAGTTTCTGAAAGTTATCAAAACTAAAGAAGTCGCCAGATTGAGATTGTGAAGTAGCTATTAGGAATGAAACGGAGTTTTTTCAGAGTTACGTAGCATGGAAGCAAAAAGATGAACAGTAAATCGTGGGAGAGAAACGCGAAAAAATGAGGTGTGATTTAATGGTGCAGTGAAATGGCGTGTTTGGGGGTTATAAGGGTTTGCAAAACGTTGTACCTTTTCAAGCTATGGAAGAAAACAATGATTGAAATTTTTGAGAATTTCGAATGTCGCCGGAAGCACAAAGTGAATATGGCAAAATTTAATAATTAGTATTAATTCTGCCATATTAGGGGGTAATTGTTGACACATAAAAATTCAGCCCAAATCGAACGGCCCAAGGAATGAAGCCCAATTGGAGGATCCCCAAATCAGATAGCCCAAAGATCGAAACCCAATCAGACAATTCAAGATGAAGGCCCAAATAGGGAGGCCCAGGAACGCGGTAACACCATCGCCTAAGTTTGCAAGTCGCCCAGAATCTGAGCGAATGGAGTGCCATGCAGTCGCCCAGAGCTGTTACTTTATTCTCGCCCAAACCTTCGAGTAGCTCAAGGTCTTAGCAAACATGAAGTGTTGTGGTTATCAAGAAGTGCAGTTATCAAAGCAGTTATTAAATCAGCCCTATCACGTTCCACGATTCAAGGAACTTAATTGAAAACGGTTGAACGACAAAGAGTAATGATAGCAGTTAGAAAAGTTAGTTCCATGACAAGTTGGCCATTACGAGGAAAGTGGGCAGTTATAGAACGATCCAGCAGTTTTTAGGCGATTGATCACAAAAAAATCATCCAGGGAATATAAAAGGAAGGAAAGACATAGAGCAAGAGGATCGACTCAAAAACTCTCGAACAGAGAACATGTAATTTTAAATTTCTTAATTTAGATTTAAACACTTCTTTCAGTAACTCGTGTGCTTGCGCCCCTTGGAGGCATTCTGTTTTTAATTTCCGATTGTAAAGTCACCGCCAATAAAGAACATCCCCTTTTTGGGAATTTGTCTCAAGAGGTTTGTCCCTTACACAATCGTCTGATCCCTTTTAATTGTTAGCGACTAACACGCGCGAAACATTAACATAAAACACTAGGTGATTGCCGAGTCACCAAAGAATCGTCGGACAACATTGTTGATGATAATCATTGACACGTGTGCATTTATAACAACTAGTGATATTGTTCATGATAGTTCTGTATATATTTGCGTGTGCATGTCATTTTTAATCTTGCACTACTCATCTAAAAATATATATATGGATTATGGACCATAAATCCTTGAAATTGAATTAATGACTACAAGTTTGATGGAGGAGCCTCTTTTTGTTAAATAGACTAGGCTTTCTACTAATATCATTGCAATGATGAAATCAAAAAATATATATACAGCCCCTGTTTGGTACAGATTAAAATAAAATATTTAATCGAAATGCTATCATATATGTATTTAAACTATTATGCCGAGTTAATTGTTCCAATGGTCACTGAACTTATATCCATGTCTTTGATTGGTCACTAAAGTTTAAAATATCAAGTTTCTGTCACTGAATTTAGGTTTATATCTTCGATTGCTTACTGAATTTTAAAATGTCGAGTTTTAAGCACTGAACTGTGAAAAAATATTGTACATTACTAACTAAATTTTGAAAAATTTTGTACATTACTCACTGTAAATTCGATATTTTCAAAGTTCAACAGTTATGCTAGTGAGTAACATATGGCATATTTCAAAATTCAGTAACCAAAACTCGACATTTTAAATTTTAGTGAACAATCCAAGACATTTACCTAAGTTTGTGAGTAATTGAAAATATTGACCTAAGTTCAGTAATCAAAGCTCGACATTTTAAGTTTCAGTGACCAATCAAAGATATGGACCTAAGTTTAATGACTATCGGAACAATTAACTATATTATGCCATACCTATTGTTCGCTTTAAGAGTCTTAGTTGTTCAATTGGTATCAAAATTTAATTTAAGCATCGTATGAGATAGGGGATGCAACAAAATGCCGTAAGATAAGCAGAGGTTCATTCAAAGCTGACAAATATAATGGCTTGGACATAATGACTTGGATTGTTACATACCAGGATTACAGAGATCTTCAATTCAAATCCTAAAGGACCCTATAGAAAGTTTTGAGTAGACGGGCATAGAAGCCTGGATGGTAACCATATCATACTGTGTTTTCCTTATTTAATTTGTTCTTTCAAGTTTTCCCTTTTAAATTAAGCTGAATGGAAGGAATATTTCTGCCTTTTCCGAAATATCTAGGCCATAATCTTCATGTTTGATCATATGAAAATCGTGAACGTCATTCTTTAAGATTGTTCCATGTTACAATTCGTTTAATTAGCAGATTGCAGATGTTTCCACTTGTCCCTTTCAGAATTGCTGATAGAACAAAAGGAAGATGTGTGATTTCTAAAAACAAGTTTTGTGCAGATGGATCATAATTTCCTTAAATTATAAAAAGGAAGAAGTGTCTTCTGTTATCTTTCAAAAACCTACCTAAATTTTGTATCTGAAGTACATCTTTCATTCTAACTTCTATTCTCATCTGTTCTACTTTTCCTCTTTGTTTTCCGATAAGCTAGAAAACTTCAGGCACACTATCCAACTTTGGCATCCATCCTCTGCAATTCGTGTAACCAACTCTGTCAATGGTATCGACCTTCCGTGTGCTTTCTTCCAGTACTATATCATCAACTGAAACACCTCCTTTTCCTAACATTGCCTGCAGATCTTGTTTGCTGATGACAAGCTTGATCCTAACTACTCCGGTTGATTCACGAGCTTCTTCTACTGAATCTGCAAAACGAACTGTCTTCTTCTTCTTCATCCGAGGTGCAGGAGCCACTGGTAGAGGCAGAAGGTAATATAACTGACCTCCTAGCATTTTAGCATTTGGATTCATGTACTGTGCTACTGGAAGTTTATCTGATATTGCATGGTGAGAAAATTCTGATAAAACTTGATGAACTTCTAATGGGGCCTTGTATTCAAGGATTTTCCCATCTGTTTTTATGACTTTGATAACCTTTGCCTGCAGAGCTAAGCAATTTCCCATGGCTATGGGAAAATTGCTTTAATGGAGAGAACTTTTTTTATGCAGATTAGAAGTGGCTTCCAAGTTAGATTTGTGGGAGTAAATTTATAAGTGAAAATGATGAAAGAAAGCCCTCAAAATCTTTGAATATTACAAGAAAAAAACCCAATTGCACTTTGGGGCCCATCTCGTTGATTTTTGTTCCTGTGCTAGCCTAGGGATCATGAGCTGTGATCTCCACATTGAGATTATCATATGATCCATTGAATCTTAAAAGAGTCAAAAAGTTTGCAATTTGCAAACTATTGAAGTTATATTGCTAGCCTTTCTATTGTGCTAGTTAATTATAGCTTTTAAGATAAGTGAAATTGAATTATAGTAAGAAAATCACTTCATAGTATAAGAAATAAGAATATTCATTTTAATATGGCAAGAGAAGACGACGGTTTTCTGAATTTTGTTGTCTCCCATAAATCTTATTTATGAGATTCTATGTATTAAACCACTGAATGATGAGGCGTTTTGAATGTAAAATATAAATAAATGAAAATTTTCATTTTCCTAAGAATTTAAACTCTTAAAATGAATTAATTCAAGACTCGGGGCTATGCATCTTGTAGGAAGGCTTTTGAAGTCTTGACTTAGTCAAATTTCCTAATGACATGTTTAGTAGACTAGATTAGATGATACTCGACAATATAAAAAGCAAATGAAGTAAAATTGTGTTCAATTTGATATCTAGTCCTATGCATCAACATACAGTAAGAAACTATAAACGTTAAAAATCCATAAAATGTGCAAACTCGTTTTTGTGTATAGAATAAAATATTGCTAAAATGACATCGCACTCCAACATTTAATTAGAAAATTCCAAAACCATATTATTGGAGTGATTATGATTAAATTAGGATTAGGACAAGAGTAACAATTCATGGAGTCCCCATTAATGTGGTAAGTGGATGATTACCAAACTCCATATTTAAAGGGAAATTTCAGTTAAGATCCAGTGAGACCACTTATAGTTAGTGGGTGATTGCTGTGTATCGTGGTTGACTCCACTTGTGCAACATTGACCATCTGCTGGACCCTCTGATCAATATAAGATCAATGATCAAACTGAAATCGATGATTTGCGAGGACAAATATGATATTTTGGTGGTAATCCCTCGCTTAGTGTAGGTGTAGGGTATGGGTCTATGCATGTATTTTGTGTAAATTATACTATTTGTACACCTCTTTTGATGGATTGATTGACAGGTATAAATAAATAAATAAAATATAGCAATTGAAAAAACAATTTGCCAGAATTTATTTATTTATTTTTTAAATCTGTCAATCTACCTCTAAAATTGTCTATACATGTAGCACATCGCTATTAATTTAAACCCGGGTATTGGTTGATAGGGTCTTTATCCAAATAGATCATAACATCCAAAACTACTAAAACAAATTTGATTCTAATTTGTCTTTTACACGGTGGTTTGATAAAAATAAAAAATAAATAAATAAAAAATTACAAGAATTTTAGCAAACCTTAATAAAGGTTAATAAAGTACTGTCACCGTCCCATAAAGATAGCTGTATTTCTTTTTTTTCATACAGATTAAGAAAATTTAGTTAAATAGTTGAAATAATAAATTTTACTATAATTTTTCCCAATATATCCCTGCATTAATGCAATCAATATTCAAGGTAATTAAAATTATGCATGCTATATTCAAGACAATTAAAATAAATATTTGTGATAAATAAGTACATTAAATAGGGTCATGTTAAGAAACTATTATATTAACTACACTCTCAAATAAAAAACTTGGCCATAATTTGGGACAAACGAAGAAAAGGAGAACATGGCTATATTTATTGGACGGAGGATGTATATATTTAAAAGTTGATAAAAATTATGAATTCCATAAAAGTATGGTCAACCTTAAAAAAAACAAGCATTAAATAGAATATTACATGTGGTGAGGTAAATATGAAGTACTAAAACTTCGAGTCTTAATTTGATTTCAAAACAAAATTTTACTTTGTAGTTTGTGCTTATCTATATTGATTGATTCACGTCTTACGATATTGAAATTATAGTTATTTTTTTGTTTAACATTTTAGGACATATGCCCCTAAAACTCATTAGGGATGATTAACAATTAATTTTACCGTGCGATAGTTCCTGAAATTCATTTAATCTATAGATTACAAGTCATTTATAAAAAATTCTAAATTTTTTTTTAAAAAAATTGTAATTTCACAAAATAAAAGTCAAAAAGGAAACGTTTTCTTGATGAAAACTTATCATTAGCTAGGTATTTGTTGTAATCAACAGAATTGTACTTGTACCAGTACAAGGCAGCCAACCATGGGTGATTTGACAAGGCTTGGCTTTATTTGACCAGAAAGGAGAAAAGAGAGGGTACTCCACTTGCTGTATTAAGGCATTTTAAATTTGTTTGCTCAAATGGGTTGCTTAGTGCCGTGTGATGTTATCAATACGCATGTCTGATATAAGGGAAGGGATATCCTATTAAGAACACATCCAATCCTACACTAAAATTTGCACTATTTTACATCAAATTTTGTATCAAAGTAAAAATATCTCCAATCTATTACACCAGAAATTGCATCAAATGAACAGTATTTAGTCATTTTCTTCATTTCTCTTATTTTTAACAATTTATATAACTAAAAAAATTATTTATTTATTCGATTTACTACTATATAAATTATTACATACATAGTTACATTTTTTTTAATGAAAATATGAAATTATTTAATATATTTAAAAATATAGTAAAATTAATAAAAATACCACAACTAAGAAAATATAAATCTTGAAATTATGGTATGGAGAAGTCGACCTAGTGTTTAATTTAATTATTAGAATTCATATATTGATACGATAAATGTTCAATTAATGCATTTCGTTTTGAGTACTTTTATTTTAATTCGTTCATCTATTATTATTAATTACGCGATTAAAATTTATTACAAATGATGATCATCAATATTATTATTATTATTATTATGAATTAAAATTTATGTATGATGTAAAATGATACAAATACCCTTCATATCAACTTGATCATACATGAAAAAAGGGCAAAATGGACTTTTATCACATTTGGTGCAAAATGGTGCAAGATTTGGTATTGGCCATGCAATATTATTCACTTGCACTATTTTGCACCAAAATGGTGCAAGATTTGGTGTTGAACCCTGCTAGGCGTACAGGTCCCTGTGCCAGGGCACACATAATATGTGGGGCTCACGTAATATTTTTTTTTAATACATGTGGGGTCCCTACACAGTGAGGGGCCCTATAAAACATTGGTAAAAATGCCTCTGTACACTGAGCTTTTTCATTTGGTGTTGGGTTGGAGTGGTGTTTTGGTGAAAAATGGTGAAATTGGATGGAAAATAGTGCAACACTATTCACTTACACCATTTTGCACCAAAATGATGCAAGATTTGGTGTTGGGTTGGAGTGGTAATTTTGGTGAAAAATGGTGAAATTTGATGGAAAATGGTAAAATTGTAGAAGGGTTGGAGTTGCCGTGAGAAGCCAACAGAGGAGAAATTTAATTAATATTATAACTCCATTATTTACAATTTATATAATTTCAACCAAGCAAGGTTGAAAAGTATAAAAGCAACACGCAAGGCAGACATTGAGATGGAACAAAGATTCCCTTCTCATTAAATCCCCAAAAGTCACTATCTACTTTGCCACCCACACTAAAAAAGAGCACTACATTTTCACCAACTTCGTTTGCATCTACTTGGGTGCAACGTTGTTTTTCCTCCTGGGCCACTATCGGCCGATATGGCACGGAGGATCAAGACGCTTGTCACCGTAATATTGGGCGGCCACCACCTAACAGAATTTTGATTTCCCCTCCTGCTTTTTTGGGTGCGTGTTTTTAGACTCATTGACCGATATAATTCTAAAGTACTGTTGTAAAGTCCTTGTTAATTGTGCATCAATCATGGTTAGAGAAGATTTGCATTTCTCGCTTCTAGATAATTAGAATTTTGTGAAATTTGTTTGGCTCTCAAATCGAGGTGAATCTTTTGAATAGTTTGAGTATTACTCTGAACTCTAAGTGAATTTCTTATATTATAGTTGACAAACTATTCCTCTAGGACTTGAGTGGATATATAAAATCTCGGTTGGTTGAGGAAATCAAATTGAGCTTTATGTGCAATTATTAAAGAATGTGAGACTTATAACAACAGGACATGGCGACATTATTCATACCATCTATAAACCAAAAATTTTCAAGATGCATGGTGGGACCAAAATAACCTTATTTCTCGTGTTCGCCCTAGTCTAGTTCAAGGTCGAAACCAAATTCTCCGTCCTTGGTCCAATTCCCTCACCAACCGCTGAATTCCACATTCCATTTTACCATTTTTTTTTTTATTGATTATGATATGTTGTGATCCTATAGAGGCCAATCAAAGGTTCGATAAAGTTAAAATATATTTTTATGAGGAAATTACATGTATTACTCATTTTAAAATAATAATTCATATAATAAATTCCTACTTTTTTTATATTATTATTACTGCATTTCATAAAGTAAAAAATGAAAAACAAAAAACAACTTATACTATATTTATTAATTTGACAGCTTATATCACTCCACCAAACAAGCCAATCTATTTACACAAATAATGTTGAAAATCCCCAAATTATTGTCTTTTACCATGGAAAATCCCCAAATCTAGATAACCATCTTTGACCAAAATCAAAATTCCAAATCCACTAATCCAGAAAATCACAAATTATCCCATGGATCACTCACCTTCAAACCTCATATTGTGAAATCCATATTCTGAGTATCAAATAAATGATCTTTATAATTGAATATTGAAGAGAATGGTGTTTTTATCAATGAATATAAAAACCCTGTTGAAGGATTAGAGAAGCACAACTCGAGGAAAGTTTAGCAAGTAAATATGAAATAATACAGTCTATAATCAGACAATTCTGTTGAATAATGGCACCCCCTAATCATCGATATTTCTAGTCGCCGCTTATCTATGGGTCCCACCATGGACAAACAAAAGAAGGTGAGTTGTTGTCTCACATATTTAGTATAAAGTAATCCTATTCTGGAATTATTCGCACTTAGCCTGTATATGCAGCTCTTTAAAAAAGAAATTTCTTGTCAATTCTCACAACGACAACCAGTTATTCCAAGTTTCATGTTTTTCTTTGATTTGTTGTGTAATTTTACACTCCTACGTTCCATGATGACCACGAGAACAAAGACTACCATTTTTTGTCCATGTTAACATAATTCATGGTTGTTAAATTTTTTGTGGTAGCGTTACTACTAACACGTTACAAAGTGAAAAAATAAAACTATTACACCTCAAAGCCCATAGTTAATTTGTGTTTTTTCTTCAAATGATTACAAATATGTACGAAAACACCACCAATAACGTCTCTCTCTCTCCCTCCCTATATATATATATATAATTTAAATTATGTACATGACACATTACATTATCCTTTTTCCCACGACATATCTGTTTCTGCCAACCAGATCATGTAAGTAATCCCCATTTACATTCCATATTACATGCATGAATGTGTTGTGCTTATCTACGTTACCCATTACAACAATTTACATCATTTCACTCATCCCTAAACCTTGATCAAACTCTATCAACTAATTTGCTCAAGTTGTACAACCCAAATGCAAGGATGTAATTAGTTCTCCTGATTACTTTTAGTGTTTTCCCCCCTTATATATTTTTTCGAAATCCATAATGTGACATGCCCAAATCGGTGTGCGTATGGCTGTCCTCTATTTAATCCATCTATCTTTTCAGATGACCATGCCATTATGATATAATGTGGATTGCACGTCTCTAATTGTAGGCGTTCTTTATGTTTATAAAGCGTGTTAGATTTCACGATTTGATGCATTTTCCATAACTTCTCTAACTGCGTTATTTGGATTGATTAAAAATGTGAAAAAGACGTTATAAATTACATCCCATTATTAAAATATGATGTTGACCTCTCCCACTCCTCAACACTTAACTTCTGAATGACTAAACTGGGTATAGCCGTACAGTTGAATTAGTGAAGTAGTGGGTTCTCATCACAACATCTTGGAGCCTTTAAGTTAATATAATAGTTCTATTTTGAAAGGATCTAATGATTCTGTTTTGATTATGTTGAAGTTTTCTTATAAAGTATTGATGCTCAACTTCTAATTTATTTATCAAAACTGTTTCAATTCAGAATTACTCATAATTTCCACACATAAATTTTGCCACATAAATTATCCATGCAATATAGTTATGAAGGCTTACAGCGCACGGGATTTAATGTGAATCTGTTATTCAACATGCTTAAAAACAGCACATGAATTTTGCAGAGCAAAAATCTGGAAAATGAACATTAATATGGCAATAATTTGCATCTTCATTCACAATTTGAAAAACATCAACAACAAGAGTATAGGCCAAATATATGTAAATCTACTTTCATTATTAAATAGAAAGATAATTCAACCGGAAAACTAAGGCCCTGTTCTCTTTACCGTTTTCGGGTCGTTTTCTGTTTTCGATTTTTCAAAACGGTGAAAACGTGTTCTCTTTCCCGTTTTCGAAAACGAATTTTCGAAAACAAAAAAAAATTTGTGAAGAAAACACAAAAC